TGTAACGACAGCGGTCCAGGCGGTGCTACGGGCGACAGACAAACGCCGTGCATTCTCAGTTCTCATGGGGGCAACTGCACTCCTGAACATCTGCCTGAATATATATTTGATTCCACGTTACAGCCATGTCGGTGCGGCGAAAGCGATGGTTATGAGCGAGGCATTTCTGCTCATTTTTGGGATCGGCTACATCTCAAGAAACATTATCAAATTCCGAGAAACCCCTCTTATATTCCGCACACTTTTGAAAGCAACCTTTCTCTCTGCTCTGATGGGTATCGGTTTGGTACTGTTAAAGGGTTCTCTCTCCATCTGGGTGCTGATTCCGCTGGCGGTGCTGTTTTATGGTGGCGGGACCGCCATTCTGGGCGAATTCCGGTCAAAACTTAGGTTTGATTAAAAGTCCCTATTTCACTATCACTACTCGCTGTGTCGTAGCGAAATCTCCCGCTACGAATTGTAAAAAGTAGACACCGCTCGAAACAGGTTCGCCTGTCTCGTTCCGTCCATCCCAATAGGCGGCTCGCTCGCGTGTCAGGTAATATCCGACAGGTTTGAACCCAATAGAAACTGTCCGGACCAAACGACCACCGACATCGTAGATCGTCACACTTACATCTGCCGCTTTTGCCAACTGATACGGTATCCACGTCTCAGGATTGAAGGGGTTGGGGTAATTCGGGAGGAGTCTCGTCTCTGAGACGCTTCGATTGGCGTTCTCCAACCAGAGGCGCAAAAACTGAATTGTTATTTTAACACTATGTGATTTCTCTGACACTGTTTCTAATTCATTCAGCGCACGCCGGACCACAATAACATCTACAGGTGAAGACGGTGTATCTTTGACAATGTCCATCAGAGAGGGTGCCGCGGAGACTACTTTTTCACCGAGACGTTCAGCAACAAATACGAGATCTAACACATTTACCTGTCCATCTTTGTTAACATCTACTCTCGGATTAGACGGTGATTTTTGTCCAAGATTCTGGGCTACAAGAATAATATCCAGAACGTTGACGATTCCGTCCTGATTGACATCACCGTTGGATTCCACCCCTTTTGCTGTAATAAACATATCCGCCCAATGTGCCCAGTCGCAGCCTCCATCTTTACCAGGATCGGTTATCAATTCCAACAACACATGATCCCCCGCGTATCTTGAAAGAGATATGTTTGCATCTTCCCATCTAAAGGTATCTGCGAAATGTTCAAATTGCGTTTCACCATTTACAAGCACTTTAAAAAATACACCATCACTGCATCCGTCTTGTAATCCCATTGAAAAAGAGAATATCACCTCGCGTGCTTGGGGCAAGGATAACAAAAACTGAAGAACGGTTTGACCCCCAGGAGGCGGATGGGCAATAATGCTCGCCTTGCGAATTTCCATCAATATTTACAATGGTAGGTTCACCTGAGTTCCAAACACTCCCAATCCGGAATATACCGCCAAACTGCAGTCCAGCAGTAAATTCGGCATCTTTCAGATCATCGGTCGAAATTATTTGTTGCCCAGACTGAAATAAAAAAAGAACCTTGGCAGGTAGTTTGGTTTCGAGCGAATATTGTCCGTTTCCTTTATCTTCCACTGTATCCGGGAAAGTCTTTATCGGTTCATTGGGTAGGAAAAATCCCACTTTCGTAAGCGTATCCGGTGTATCAGAGATGATTTTGGGTTCACCCCACACTGGCCAATCCCATCCTACATCTCCATTCGGCCCCGGATTGGTGGTAAAACGTAGCACAACCTGTTGCCCTTGATAAGAGGTCAAATCTAAGCTGATATGCTTCCACTCTCGTTGATTGTAGTGTTCACGAAAAATCACATTACCTTGGACAGAAATAATAAAGGTTACACCGTCAGATTTCTCAGAGTCAGGACCATCCCATAATCCAATATCAAATTCTAAACGGATACGAGGGCTATTCGGGAGTGAAAGTTTCCATTCCCCAAATGTTTCGCCGCTGACCCCTTGCCAAGGCGGTTGTGCCCAAATCGCAGCTTTGCGAATGCCTGAAATAGAAGTTTCACCAAGGTCGAAGGCTGCACCTTTTTGTCGAGGTGATTCTCGTCCATTCAGGACAATGCCCGTTTTTACAAGATGAAACTGCGACAATAAATCAATTTCACGAGAAACACCAGTCCTTTCAAGTCGAAATAGAGCGGCATCTTTCGTCACACGCGACTCTGTCACAGAAACACCTTCTGGCAAAGCGTTAATACGTGCATGGGAAAAATCGCGCGGAGCATCATTCAAGAAGTAAGACTTTTCTGGATTTAAACCGAGTATTGTTGTCTGGTTGTAAGCATGCCAGTGTGGAAGATTTCGGTCAGTTTTCACCTGTGTTACACCGAAAACTCTTTCATATCCGGTATTATTAAACGGTAAATCAAAAGTGGTGCCACCATCTATCGTTTTGAGGACTGCGATTTCAGCATCTTGTCCTATATATTGGAATAGCGTATCAGGTGCCCAATCCGTCTCAAAATCGGGCTTCAAGCCAAATTGTTGCCAAGTCCGTGCTATTGAGAGCAATTCCTGTGTCCCAACCCGATTAAGCCCCAAGTCCTCCATCGACCAGATGCGAAGCGTCGGCAAAACGCCCCAACTCTCATACGAATCCAGAAATTCTTGATAAAGTGTTGGAGCCCTATCTGGATTAGGAAATCCCAAATAGCCGTAGGGTAATGTATAAGGGGAGAATAAGAAGGCACTAATCGGGTGAGGGGTTCCCCTTGGCGTGAGGTTCCATTGAGGCGGGAGTGACCAACGTTGTGCGAAACTTTCACGGAAGAATGTCACTTCATGAAGGCTCTCACCGCTGAAGACAACGCCGGGCATCGCTGTCGCTAATTCCTCGTGCATTAACACATTCCCTTGACCGGGATTTAGTCCTTCAACCAATCCATTTGCATCGTTTATCATAGCGTGACTGATGTCCAAATGAAATGCATCCACCCGATGTTCCTCCCATATCTGCTTCAGTTGCTGCACAAAGAATTCTCTAAATGCAGAATTAGCAAGATTTATCCATGCATGTCGCTGAGGATTCTCTGTTTCTTCCCACTTCCAACCGATAAGCCCTCCGGTCCACGGGTCTCGAAATTGAGATTTCTGAAATTCGGCGTAGAGGGGATGATAGGTTGAAACCCCAACGAGATTCACATGCGGCATCACCCGAAATCCATGTTGGTGAGCAGCTTCAACAAAACTGCCAAACTCAGGTTTTGCCGTATAATCGGGGATATTCTGATCGAAATCATTTCTTCGCCAATGCACCAGATACAGTAAAGTTTTCGTCGAATCAACGTGTCTCGCTAATTCATCCAATATTCCAACATCCAAACCAAAATAAATGACAACCAAACCGATGTTTTGAACCCATGTCGGCATTTCATCCAATCGCCAAGGATCAAATGTCTGTTCCATCCAATCTCGGTAATGCCTTGCAGGCACACGCCAGTCACCTACGTATGTATTCAGCCGCCACGTGACAGATTTCGCGGAGGTAAGTGGCTCGAAAGGTGCCTGATTTTGTGTTTCAAAACCGAGCGCAAAACTCTCTGTATCTTTTTCATAGTGGAGGACTTTAAACTGAAAGGTTTTATCTATTCCCCGAACGAAAAACCCGCCCTGCTCTCCTTGAAGAATCGCGAGTTGGACTTCCCAACCGCCGTCTTTCCAAACGCCAGGATATTTGAAACTTGTGGAAAGGACTGGATACTCGGCATCAATGATTTGCCCCCCTTCTGCGGGAAGGACGAGGTCCAGATTTCTGACATCCAGATTCCCGCATCCCCACTGAATCCCATAAACGCCTGCGGTACCGGAAGTGCCCTCCTGTTCAATAACCAAGTCACCGGTATTCTGGTCAACTCCGATGAATAGAAGGATTTCGTTCTGTCCTTGGCTAAATACAATCTCTGCTTTAAGCGGAGCGACTTTCCTTGACTCTATTAGGGTCGCTTGGTCTGTCCAGATAGATCCGCCGTTTCTCCTTAATAACCCACTGTGTCCACTAATACCTGTAGGTACACCACCAATGCCGATAGGGAGAGTATAGGCTTCTCCCGTTAGTTTGTTGTGGATTTGGGTGATAACGCCGTTCATGAACTGGACTTGATAGGCATCGGTTTCGACGAAGACACTATTGTCAACGACCTTAATCTCGGCACACGGTGCCACTTGAGAAAAAAACAGACAGAATATTCCACTGAGAATGATTACGACGAAAAAACGCAAAGTATTTTCCTCCAAAACCCAAGTGTACAATTCTTCAAACACCTTAAAATAATTTAACCAGGACTTACGCAATTTTGAGCATCGCCCGCGCCCTGACAGAGAGATCGTATAAAAAACGCAGACGGTTTCTTGACACAACCTAACAGGTTATGCTACAAAAGAGCAACGTGCGTAAGTCCTATTAACGTGAGTTCGATACAAGAAATTGGTTCATTAGATAGTTCAATTCAACGATAGTGAGACCCAACATAATACCCAAAGCTCATATTTTTGCTCCAGATGAAGTTTAACAAATAAATTGGGTAATTGTGGCTACGCGACGTGCGATGAATCGCACTACTACGAACATATCTGTTTTTCATCCGAAAACCATTGATCACACGTCCCAGAATTACCCGTTTAAATTCTTAATCTTCATGAGGATCAACATGTTTGCGGTGGGGTCATTGTTCACTGACTAACTGTCCACATATTTTTGGACTTTACTATAATTGCTAATTTGCCAAGAGTCGAAATAGAGGCATTTGGTTTTCAGTTCACCTATTTTAACGTGAGTTCGATAAAAGGAACCTCTACTTGTGCCGCAAGCTGTTAGGTTGCGCGGAATATGCCACAAACTAAAAGTTTATGCTACAATTTATGTCTTTGACATGCGAAAATGGAACCTTGAGACGGACGAAATGTTTAAGTCGAACTGACGTTATTTTAGCCCAAAAGTCGTGACCGAGCGGTCGCTTTTACATGAAGAGATACCCTTCAAGAATATAGCCCCTGCAGCACCTCAAAATAATTGGGGAATGTCTTGCTGACACAGTCGGGATCATTAATCCGAATCCCGCGTGCCTTCAAACCGACGAGTGAAAACGCCATCGCCATCCGATGGTCTTCGTAGGTATCAATCGCTGCGGGTGTAATAGATGAAGGCGAAACTTCGAGCCCGTCCTGATGTTCAATTACAGGCACGCCTAACCTTCGCAACTCCGTCACCATTGCATGAATCCGGTCGGTTTCTTGCCAGCGTGTGTGTTCAATGTTTCGGATGGTTACTTTGCTATCGGCAAACGGCGCAATTGCCGCGAGGGTTAGAGCAGTATCCGAAATCGCCCGCATATCCACATCGACCCCTTTCAATTGGTGTGGACCTGTAACGGTAATCCCAATATCAGAAACAGCAACCTGACACCCCATCTGCTCCAAAATACGCACAAACTGAACATCGCCTTGCATGGAATCTAAGTGCAAATGTTGGACAGTGACACGTCCTCCTGTGAGTGCAGCAGCCGCAAAGAAATAGGAGGCGTTGGAAGCATCGGGTTCAACGTTATAGATACGCGGCTGATACCGCTGCCCACCTTCAATCCGAAAATACTTATAGCCGTCGCTGACGACCTGTACACCAAATGCCTCCATGACTGCGAGTGTAATGTCAATATAGGGCATTTCGCGATCCCCGACAACCTCAATCTCTACATCGTTTTTAGCACACGGTGCGATGAGTAGCAACGCCGTTAAGAATTGACTGCTCTTGCTGACATCAAGTCGGGTCCTTCCACCCTCCAGTCCCGTTTGCCTCAACAATGACAGGAAGATGTCCATTGTCATATTGCGAGCGCGCCGAAACCCCAATTTGTGTCAGGGCATCCAGTAAATCGGAGATAGGACGGCCGTGTCGCATCGGTTCATCGCCATCAATGACGAACCTACCACGACCTAACGAAACGTAGGCGGTAAGCGAGCGTGAAGTGGTCCCTGAGTTCCCGATATAAAGCTCCGCACTCGAAACCGGAATATCGCCACCATTCCCCTGACACATCAAACGTTGCCCGCTTCTCATCAGCGTCAATCTCGACACCGAGCTTTGTAGTGCATTGCACATATAGCGCGTATCATCGCTAAAGAGAGCACCCATCAGAGTTGAAGCACCACGTGCCAACGCGGCAACTAACAACGCACGGTTGGTATAACTTTTGGAACCGGGGACCTCTATCGTGGCATCAAGCGGCTTACGAATCGGCTGTATCTCAATCATATTTTTAACTATGCGCTAAGCGTTAAATGACACCGTTGGTTAGACAAACATTTTCGATGAATATCCGCAAACCTCCGATGTCAGTTTGCTACTTACACTTGAGAAGATAAGCAGCACCTGATGTTTTTGAATTTCTTAGGACTTACGCAATGCGCAATGAATTGCGCGACTACGAACCATGCTTGTTTTGAGAACACGGCTATTTTCAAGAGATTGTGTTTGTAGTAAGGAAACCCTTTATCGCCTGTTTGCGTAAGTCCTGTTTCTTAGATTTCTAATATTCTAAACCCATACGGAAAGCGGCTATTTATAGAAGAAACTTAGGTAATCTCCAGGTCTGTGAGCAATTGACGAAGTTCGTCCTTCGCAGATTCGCTAACTGGCAGCAACGGACCCGTTGTATAGGCGTTACAGACTCCCAAAATCTCCAGACACGCCTTCATACCGCTAACACCCTGTCCATAATTATACATCCTGCCGAGCTGAAGCAACAATTTCTGCAGTCGGTGGACTTCGTCAATGTCGCGTGCTTTTGCGGCATTGTAGAGCGCGACAGATTCTTTCGGAGCGACGTTTGAAACCGAGATGACACCCCCGTCAGCACCAAACAGCACCGCTGCACCGAGCGCGGTATGTGAACCGAGCATGATAGAAAAATCCGTCCGGTCACCGAGCCGAGCCAAAAGACTGAGACAATTCGTCCAATCGCCGGAACTGTCCTTAATTCCCACAATATTCTCACAAGTTGCTGCGAGTTGGGCAACGATATAGGGTTTAATCGCTGTTTTGACGGTTGAAGGGATGTTGTAAATGAAAACAGGAAGGTCCGTGCTTGCGGCAACATCGTAATAAAACTCGATCAGGTCGGCATCGTCGGTGGAGGGATAGTAGTAACAGGGTGTCGCGGCAACCGCATCGATGCCGAACTGCTCGGCGACTTTAATGTTTTGGATAACGCGCTGGGTGCTCGTGTCCATCACACCACAGATAATCGGCACACGACCGCCGATTGCTTTGACAGCGATGTCCATCGCACGTTCGCGCTCCGTATTCGTCAACGTCGTAAATTCGCCAGAAGTCCCCAATAGATAGATGCCATGGACACCATTGTCGATCAAACGATTGAGTTGATTAATAAACCCGAGCTCATCAACGCGCTCTTTTTCATCAAGTGGCGTTATTGTCGGTGAAAAAATGCCTTCAAATCGAATATTCATGAATCCCTCCTATAGAGAGTATTTGCTGTCTTTCTCACTAATATGAATTGCTAGGAATACAGTATCGAATTACCTACCAGACTTATGATTTCAGTTTAGCAGAATCCGATTTAGATGTCAAGAGGACACGAAAAAGGATCAGGGTCATTCAGCTCCTACTGGGGTATGTCGGGAATCGGAGTTCCCTCCTACAGAAGAACTGAATGCTTCTGCTGCCAATCACAGAGCCATTCAGGAGTATGTCGGGAATCGGAGTTCCCTCCTACAGAAGAACTGAATGCTTCTGCTGCCAATCAAGTTTCCGTTTGCAAATTATGCCGAAAATGTGCTATGATGCTATCAAACCCAATCAGTTTACACGTTCCGTAGCAGACGCAAAATGAGTAGAAGATAGACAGGATAACCCGCCAAAAGGGAAATCATAATGAACATCCGCACGCAACTGACATTCAGGTATATCGGCATTGTGCTTTTAGTGTTGCTGGCGATGTATTTCTATCTTGCTACGATGCTCAAAGTCTCCATGAGCAGTCGCATTACCAGCGAATTGGAAGTTCAGGTAGCATTAACTCGGGAATTTCTCATTGAAAAACTCCCTACTAAGGATAACTTTACTTACGACCTAATAGATCCCCTCGTCGATAGACTCGGAAAGGCTAACAACGCTCGGGTGACCTTCATCGACTTAGATGGTGTTGTCTGGGGTGATACTGAACGGGATGGACAGGCACTGCGTGAAATGGACAACCACCTCACGCGTCCAGAGGTACAGGATGCCATCAAGAATGGAAGCGGTATTCGAGACCGCTACAGCGATACAACACAGACAGGATTTCGTTACTTTGCCCTGCCAATACATCGCAATGTGGGTACAGAAATTTCATCAGATGGAGAAGGAACTTTGATTGGCATCTGCCGTGTCGCGCTTCCGATGGAAGTCGTTAATACAGCAATTGGTAACCTCCGACAGATGGCTCTAATTGCGAGCGTGGCGGGACTCATTCTCGCAATCGTATTTAGTGTCTTTAGCACCGGTGCCATCACTAAACCGATTAAGAAATTAACCCAGATGACACAATCGCTTGCTGCTGGCAACATAAACTCGCGTGTACCCGTCGATTCCAGAAATGAACTCGGACAACTCTCTCAGAATTTTAACCTAATGGCAGACAGGATACAGGAACAGATTGACAAGATATCCGAAGAACACCAGCGTTCTGAAACCATTTTGACGAACATGGGCGAAGGTGTGCTACTCGTGAACGGTGCCTCCGAGATGACTTACGCCAACCCAACGGCTATCGCTATGCTGGAACTTCCCGACGCTTATATCGGCAAAGCCTTGATCGAAATCAACCGGATTCCAGAACTACAAGCACTCCTGAAAAAGGCAGAACAGACAGAAACCATCGCGTTCGCAGAAATCCAGTTGGGTAACCTGAGAGAACCCGAAGCAGAGGTCACGGTTGTGCCCGTTCCTGCGGGTCAAGAGTACATTATCGTTATCCACGACGTCACTAAGGAACGGCAATTAGAGCGGATTCGGGCTGACTTCGTGGCGAACGTTTCGCACGAACTCCGCACGCCACTCACAACAATCCGAGGTTACGCCGAAACTTTACTCAGTGAGAATTCCGTTCGGACAAAGACAGGTGAACAGTTTATTGTGAAAATTCTCAATCACTCAGCCCGGCTTACAAGATTAGTCTCGGACCTGTTGGAGCTCTCTCGGCTCGAGTTGGGTGAGGTAGAATTGAAACGCTCGCCCTGCCACCTCAACACCTTCCACGAACTAATTTTAGATGTGTTTGAACCGCTATTAGAGGAATCAGGGTTGGTTTTAAAATGGGAGATTCCTGAAAAGCTTCCGAAAGTTAACGTAGATCGACAACTTTTCATGCAGATTTTTGTGAACCTGATCGACAACGCCATCAAATACACACCTGATGGCGGAGCGATTACCGTTTCGGCAGAAACCTGCTCACGCGAAGAGACTGAAGGATCCAACACAGCCTCGGCAGAGATCATCTTGCGTGTAGAAGATACAGGTATCGGCATCCCAATGGAATCCCAACCTCGCGTGTTCGAGCGGTTTTACCGTGTCGACGAAGGACGTGCCAGAGAAATGGGTGGCACTGGATTAGGACTCGCAATCGTTAAGCATATTGTACGCTGTCACAACGGCAGGATATGGCTGGAAAGCACACTCGGACAAGGCAGCACATTCTATGTCGCCCTGCCTCTATGAATGTGCCGTCTTATAGTAAAATCCACAATTACTTGGACATCACGGATGGGCGAGGTTATAGTAAAGCCTACAATTACTTGTACATTGTGCGGCGAGGTTACAAACCTCACCACGGGGATGGGCTGGGGGACTGCACCCTCCGAAATGTTCCACATATTTTTCGGGCTTTACTATAAAACCTCGCCAGCGGTGGAGTGGGTTGGTGTCTCCTGAGATGTCTACATATTTTCGGCGGGCTTTACTATAAGAAATAAGGCTAAATTTTCCACGCTCTTGCGTGTAAGCCATCTCCCCAAAAAAGGTACTCATAACGACTACTCAACAAGAAGTAGTTTTTAATAATCCGTTCTTTTTGAGAGGTGCTATGCTCCGCTGTGAGATTGTTGAGCAGAGCCCGCAGCGACGTACCCAGCGATAGGAATCAGAGAGGCGTACATCTCAATCCACTCCTGATAGAGCGGTTCCGGCGATCCTCCGTGTTTGGGCGAGCGTTGTGCCGATCTCGGCGTAGCCCCACTGACACGGTAGAACACCCGCAACGAGATCCGCCAAAGTCCCGACCTGTGCGACATCAGCAGGTGTCGGGTGTAAGCATGCTCGTAGGCGCTATGGGTGCGGCTTCCATCTCAGCGGCAGAGAGACCAAATTTCTCACAATACCCGCGATGCAAATCCATCTCGGTGTTCAGTGTTTCATTGAGCAACTCCGCAAACATCGCCATCGTCGCTTCATCGGGGGCTTTGATAACACCGTGCGCAAATACACGGCTATAGTCCAACAGAAAAGATAATCCTGGATGAGGTAAACTTAAATTTTTCTCTGGGGAGACTTCCATCAGCAATACCCTGAACGAATGGATGCTTCAGGTCAGCCTCCCAAATCGGTGCCGCAGTGTGTCTGAGTTCATCAGTAAACAGTTTATTTTGTGCCATACTTCTGGTCGAAACTCCTTAAAAACATACTATAATCTTTATTGTGTATCATACCCTAACAGGGAAAGGATGTCAAAATGTTTGAAAAACTCGGAATCGTAACCAATATCTGGTCTGAAGAGGTAGAAAATGGGGCGCGCTTTGATGAACTCATGGTGGAATTCGGCGCAAACGGGTTTAAAGGATATGGAGGTCCGTGAGGTGATTACCTCCGCAACTCTGAATTCGGGAAACTCATTCAACACCTCGAATCCGTGATGCCTGCGTACACCGACGCGGAATACAAAACTATCTGTGACGCCGTCTGGACAGAACAACCCTATGAAACGAAACATCCCTCGCTCTTTGCAGAGGTTACATCTTTCGTTCAAAAAGCATCCGGACTTACCCTGAGTTATGCCATGTCCCATCCTTGGCTCTCATCCCCAAAGGACAGTGAGGCAGACACACAACAGATCGTTAGGGCGAAGAAATTGGCATACCTACTCTGCCCAGCGCGACCGCGGCTCCGACTCGTCGATCCCAACACCGAAGGAGACATCGACGAATCCGCGGCTATCGCCAACCTAAAGCATTACAACACGCTTTTACCGGACTTTCCGATGATTTTTGCCGTAGAGAACGCGCGACAAACCGCCACACTGACCTTGAAGTTAGCAGTCGCGGGCGGTGCCAAACTCACCTACGACGAAACAAATACATATCGCGCTGACGGGACAACGATGAATCCTCCTGACGAATTCTGGGGTGCCGTCAAAATGGCGGATCTCACGTCGGTACATTTCAAACAGAAAACCGAAGACGGTGTTCTCTCAGAAGTAGGTGACGGCTTCGTCGACTTCCGGGCAATTGCCGAACGCCTGAGAACACAACACTATACCGGCGATCTGCTACTTGAAAACACACCAACTGCGCATTCCCTACAAGATGCCTTACGGAGTCGAGAGTATCTGCTGAGTTGCTAAGTTAGCGACACATAACGTGAGACAGATCTCTCGTCTACATCGCCTTAAGCTTACCCCACGTAGTAGCGAGCTTGGCTTTAGGAGAAACAGGCAATATTGTATCTAATCCCAGCTTACGGATCATCTCTGTATCTTCAAAGGTAAGTGCGATACCGTTGAAAAGGGCAACGTGCGTAATCGAAACCGGAAAGAAGGCACCGGGGAGTTTATTACACTCTAACAGGCACCCCATGAGCAGCGGATAAGCCTCCTGCGTCAAGTCGTTTCCTTTAATGACTTTCACAGCAACTTCCTCACCATCTCTGTAGATAAAAGAGTCAGCATCCCGTGTGACAGACACAGCGACAAACTGCCAGGTGTTAACCTCCATCGTTCCGGCAGGACTGATAATACTTCCGTTATCCGAGCCGTTCGCTGAGGTTTCTAATCGGATCGCGCCAGGACCGGTGTCACCAATATCGAGAATCCAGCCACCATTCCAGCACCACGCCCCCTTGGAGATGATACCTTTTCCATCACCCGGTGCGGCAGGATTCAACCATGCCACTAAGGTAAAATCATTCTCCCCAACGTTGACGGTATCACTGTGTGGAATCTCAAGATAGTCGTCCTTACCATCAAACTTAAGGGCTGAACCGAGATCGCTATCGACCCATTTCGGATCCCCCTCGATTGTCCCATCGTTGCCGTTACCTGAATGATCCTTTACCGTATTACCCTTACCTTCATCAAAGAGCCACACACCAGCCAAGGTGCCTAAATCTATTTCAGCATAACCCATCGCCACTGAGGTAAGCAGCATCCATATAAGGGCTGCGTATACCCAATTCGTATTAATTTTCATTCTTATTCTCCTTTTGACAGCCGTTTACTGTAAATCCGTTCCACACCCAACGCTTTTTCTGTGTATAAATCACTTGGGTTAGACGCTCATCGGTGATAGTAACAGTGTATCGCCTTTCCGCAGATTCATCTGCTGAAGTGAGACGTAGCTTCTGGAATTTCTTTTCGCCGTTCGCAATGAGGTTTATATCCACCGGTGCAACAACACCCCGCGTGGAAATAGCACCTTATCTCATAAGTGCCATTGGGGAGCGCGATTCTGAAAACGCCGTCCTCTTCACCCCAGAGGCTATCTTGATATAGAAGAAGATTCGGTTCGCCGACTGCCAAGACATCGCGTATGTCCGGCGCAGATTTCGTGTCTTCGGTGTGCCAATATTTGAGTTCAAAACCACCACCGCCGGTTCTAAACCTATCCTCAACAGATTTCGATATCCAACCGTACCGCCCATCTGCATAATCGGTGTCCTTGTCTATAGCAATGTGTCTCAAAGCAGTCTTTCCATCGCTCGGTTGCATGTCGAAAGTCATCTCGGTTGTGTTCCTCCCATAATTGTGCGTCCGGTGCCGCCTTTTTCCGCCGGTAAAGCCGATTAAAGTTGGTTGAATGAATCACTTCATAATCTTGGGTAAGATCTTCAACGCTATCATACTCTGTGCGCCAGACGAGCACATAGTCCGCAGGCACCTTCCTGTTCTTGTAACGGAGCGGAAAATGGTCGGTGCTGGGTTCATAGTTCTGAAGATAAGCAACACCGTTCTCTAACGCCAGATACCCCTCTATATGCTCAAACGGAAGGATGTATTTGAAATCCCATTTCGCCGAATCAGGTGTGCCGCCCCACGACCCCGGACGACTCGCAAGAACGGTATGCGGTTCTATCATCTCCGCTGATGAAAGTGCCACCTGAGCATCTCTGTCCAGCAGATAGTAGGTTTGAACGTGATAGCCGAGATGCCATAACGCTAAAACAATCAGGACACCACTAAAAGCGTAGTCAATGAATCTATGAAGGTTGAAACTAAGAACGGAAGCAGTGCAAGTAGAATGTAGATATGTATCCGATCGCTGATCCACATACCCCAGAGCGCAAACTCCACGGGGATTTGAAATAGAGGAAGGTCAGCATCAGCGCAATCACTAAAAAAGCGTCCGTCCGATCACAATAGCGACAATACTCCAGCACCTCCGTTTTCCCGGTTTCGACGCGGCACGGAGCGCATAGATTTTGCGTACCCTGTCGATTACGGTGAGCAGGAAAGCGATTGCAAGCACAGCGAGGAGAAGGTTGCCTATCAAGATGTGGGTATCCCGAAAGGAGACAATAGAACCAATAGAGAGAAAGTACTTCATCAAGCCCTCAAAACTCCGATGGAAGCCACCGCCTTCCCGCTTCACGAGATAGTAGGATAGTAGGATTACGTAAGCGGGGAGCATAGAACCCAAGAAAAGCAAGATAGGTTTCAGCTGCGCAGCTAACCGCACGCGAGGCGATTCGAAGGCATCATAAACATAGAGGAAAACGCCGAGGAACGTTAGGGATACTGTAAGCAGCGCGTAGGATTGAAAGTGCGTGAGATAGACAACCGTGAGCCACACATAGACCGTGACAAACGCTCTTGGACTGAGTTTATCCTCGCATCGCCACCAACAACCGAGGGCGAAGAAAAACAGTGAGACACTCAAGGCGAAGTTATAGAAACCCATGTGTAGCAAATAGTTATAGGCAAAAACGAAACCGACGAGGCAGAAAAGCGGCTTGCTTTTTTTAATACCGTTGAGGAAATAGAGAAGGGAGAGCGGTAGGAGTCCTATGCAGAGGCTAAAGAATATCTTTTCGCAAATGAGCGGCGGAAAGATATACATGAGACCTACCATAAAGGCATGGGAAGTCCAATTCGGAAAAAGCGTCGGGTTGCGTTCATAAACTTCCCGCAGGATGTAGTTTTCGTGATTGTGATATACCTTTAAGACGTGTGCGTTGTGGACATGGGCTGGTCCGTCTTGTGTCCCGGTATACTTGAACAACCAGGTCGGCAAAACGTGTATCACCAATAGCACAATCAAGACAATATGCTGGATAGATAATCGACGCGCTTTCATAAGTGCCTCGCTCTTAACAACCATCTGTTGCCACTATTTATTCTCACTGCGAAGCAATAGCACTCCGCTGGAGTGCAGTCGCTTAAACATACGCTCTTTCTATAGAACATATCACCCCTCTGGGGTGAGGAAAGTGCGTGAAAATCTCCTTGAAGGTCAAAACTTGTTAGTAGCAACTTGGGTATTCTACAAGAACTTTGCCGCGAGGTCAACAGAAATCGTGAGGATATAGGATTTATGGTAAAACCTACAATTACTTAGACACTCTAAAGAGGCGAGGTTACAAACCTCGCCAGCGGCGGTAGAGGCGTTTGGGGTCCACAACTTACTGAAGTGTCTATTTATTTATAGAATTCACCATAAAAAAATGCTCCGCGGCGAGTGTGGTTCAAAACAGCACTAACAGCGGAGCTTATGGCGAACAGTGTAGATGTATAAACTAAAAGGTGATTCTTGGCTTGTGTATTTTCTGTCTGTGCGCCATCGGAAGATGCAGTCTCTTGATTCTCGGATTCCTCAGATTCAGAGACTTCACTCTCCTGCACAGCCGTTGTTAGCTGCTTTATACGTTCGCACAGTTCATCTAACAACTGTGATGACGTTTCCGCCGCTTTCAGTTCAGCAGAAAGTTGCGTCCACTGCATCTCGCTCATATCGTTCCGAGATTCCACACCATATACGTTTGATGTAATTCCAGAGATCTGCCTTACCGATGCCTTTCCCTTCAAGGTGTCCCGCCAGATTGTTCGCGATTGCAAAAGCCGCTTTTGGGCGTTAGCGATATTTCCACCACCCTGTTGCAAACTGCGGTTGTTGCGTCGCATTGTCACTCCCCGCTTTTCGATTCAGATAGAAATTCAGGACCTCACGGATTACCGGCACAGGTATCAATTGTTTAATTGCGTTGCGTTGCGCTTTATGAATTGCTTTGGTGAACGCGAAGGGATCGGGGCGTCCGCCTGCCATTTTCGGTTGCTCATACGCGCCATAACGAGACGAACCGGTGATTGTATCGACCGCCTTAGCAGTAGCAATCCAAGAATGCTCGCGATCCTCATAATCGATCTCTTCGATCTGAATACCGCCACGGCGATTTGCGGCTTCGTTAATACCGGCTAAGGTCAACCCTTCAACCGTACGTCCTCCCTGTTTGAAGGAATAGACATAATCCTGAATCGTCTGTCCAGTCATCAACTCAATGATAGCTTGGTCATCTACCTGATCGACGACTTCATATTCAGCGGCAACCGGGACCAGTTCGTTGTTTTTTTCTTCAGCCATGATGTCCTCCGATTTTCAAATATACAACTAAATATATAATTAGTATAACATATCATTAGATATATATCAAAGAAAAAATGCTATTTCGTTGAGGATTTTGGTTAAACTCTGAATTTGACAATCATTCCCGATAAGATTGCGCGGCTTTAATCCGCCCCCAGGTGAGACTCAATTTCCCGATGGGCTGGACCGCCAAGCCCTGTGACTCAAAGTTCTGCTTGATTCTTCCAGGGTCAGTACTTTCTTATAGATGCGCACTTCGTCCACCGCGCCTATCAAGTACCCATCGGTATTGCCATCTTGAGCAATGTTCCAGTTCGTCTCACCGCCGCCTAAATTGCCGGACATTGCCTCCTCCTCTTTGACGAGGACGCTATCGACATACACCTGTGCCTTATCCTCTTCGCGTGTCGCCACTACATGGTGCCATTTGCCATCGGCGTAATCCTCATCGGTTATCCACGCTTTTCTGATGTTGTTGGCTTGCTCGGTGTAGTATCGGAGTTGTCCGTATCCTGATTAAAACCGAGCCGGAAGAAATGATCGAAGAAATTCGTTTTGTTTGTCAGGATATTGCCAACCGATGCGACTGTCGGGGGGTTTCAAAAACCAGGCTTCATACGACGCTGGTTTCTCCCCGATATTGAAAATGATCGGCAGCTCCACACAATCCGGTTTTCCGCCAAAATTGAGTGCGTCTCCGAGATGACCTTCGATGGGACTCCGGCTCACCGACGATTGTTCCATCCTTGCCGCCAATGATATCTTTAACCGTATCGCCGACAATGTCGTTTTCATCGAGCGTGTAATAACTCACTAAACCGTCCGTGACGACTTGAGCTTTCACGCCACTCATTAAAATGAAAGTACAGAGGAAAATAAAACTGGTTTGAATGACCCACCAATTTAAACATTTCGGTTTCATCTCTTTTTACGGATTGGAAACCCCTGAATTCATTCAGGGGAGGAAAATCCGCCCTCGTGTGTTAGACCCACAGCGTGTGGTATGTAAGTTAATCTGACTTTTTTCTTGACAAAAAGTGTCAGAAATGTTATTACTATTCTTATCGCTTGGCGAGGACTTATCACCCGTGTGCAAGCACGGTCTCCTCGGCCGACCGACTGTGATAAGCGGTTAAAGAGCGATAAGCGATAGTCCAATGAAACGCACGTTCAAATATCCTGTATATCCTACACAGATGCAAGAGCAGTGGCTTTTGCGGAGTTGAAACACCAAAAGCAACTCCAAAACTACATGCTCCAAATGCGTTCGCAGATGTGGAATTATGGCAGTATCTCGGTGTCGATGTATGACCAGATAAACCATCTGGCAGAACTGCGTCAATCTAACTCGCATTATTCCAAACACCCACAGGATATGCAAGTAGAGACCATCAAACGTGTTAACGCAGCGCAGGAACACTTCTTTCGCAGATGTAAAGACCCGAAAGAGAAAAAGAAAGGCGCGCCGCGATCAAACGTTCTGTGCGTCGTTGTCGTTGACGTGGAGTTTGCGAAAACACAAAATTAAGACGGGTGAACGTGTCCGCCAAGCCCCTATCCGTGAAACAGGCACTCGGTATAACCGTTTGAAAGTGCCGAAACTCGGTGAAGTCAAGATCCGCCAACACGTCCGCTCATCGGAGACCCGAAAGAGGTCACGCTTTGAAAAAGACGGCGCGCGGCTGTATTGCTTTATCGTTTCTGAAGTGCCGGATACGCTGAAGTGTGTCCCGAAATCCGCTTGTGGTGTGGATGTTGGCATACAGGACTTTCTGACGACTTCTGAAGGTGAGAAGATACCCAACCCTCGCTTTTATCGACAGGCGGAACGCAAACTTATCAAACTTCACCGCGACCTGTCTCGCAAGAAGTACCAGAGCCGAAGATGGTATAAGGCGAAAGACGCACTGGCAAAACAAGCCGATATTGTCGCCTGTCAACGTCTTGACTTCTCGCAAAAACGGCTTACTCCCTTTCCATCACAAAGGTTTTGATGCATTGTTGTCCGAGAAACTTAAACCGAGCAATATGGTAAAGAACCGACACCTTGCCAAGTCTATCTCTGACGCGCTTGGGGTATGTTCTTTAAGTGGTGCGGTTGGGTAGCCAAACGTGATGGTAAACATTTCCCATCAAGTGCCACCGCACCATACGAGTCAAACCTGTTGGAGTGTTGCCAAAAGTCCGCATCAAACTGAAGTTGTCTGAACGTCTGTTCCATTGTAAATCCTGTGGACTCAAACTTGACCGCGACCACAACGCGGCTTTGAATATACTACATAGGGCGGCTTGCGCCCTTCGTGGAGAGGTATGGGATACCATCCTCTATGAAACGAGAAATCAGTTATTGGCAACTGGCTTGCTGGGGATAACTCCCTACAAGCCCCCGACTTCAGTCGGGGTACTTGACGACTGCCTCCATTTTGAGTTCGGGTAAAAATCGAGGATTCTGGTTAAATGTTAAATAATGATGTGAAAAATTAGCGGATACCCTCTGAATCACGCTTGTCACGTTTCAAGGCATATGATACCACTTTATACCGCTATCTTCAAGTAAAATTGTTCATCAGAAATAGGAAATATTTCTCATAGCCCTCAATTTAGGGATTTTTCAGGGTATTTGGTAGCATCGAGTCTACAAATGCCGCCCCTCCGGGGCTTTGTCATTGGTTGATCCACGTTTCTACACAAATGCCGACCCTCCGGGGAGACCAAAGACCACACATTCACCTCACATCCTTAGAGACGATACCATAGAGGTTCCTGCTCGACAACGCTTTTCCCATAGCGAGAAACACGCCTATTTTTCTTAAATTGACACCTATGCCTATGTGAGAGAATTTTTCAAGTCTGGTAAGTCCATTGCATTAATCGTCGGCAATGCCCGTAGTGATCTCGACCTGTACTTCATCTGTCGCGATGCTTTCAATGTAGAGTGTGAACGTATACGTCTGATGATTCTCGTATTTTTGAAGTTTGGAGGGAAAGAGACCATCCCCTGCGACATCATCTATAATCCAAAATGTCACATTTCTATTATTTGTGGCAAGCGTCATCGCAGCCTGAATAATTTTTTACCAATTCCGGGTCTACATCATGCTGAAATGCCCAACAGTCATTTAGCCTGTTAAGTGAAACAGTCGCTTGAAGACGCACGTTTTCCCGAATCCCTTTGACCACCAGCGACAATCTGTTCGAGTGTCGTGTCGATAACTTCAACATCAGCTTTCACGGTGTGTTCAGGGACATCAGCCCAGATGGTGAAGAGAACGATCTCCGTGTATGGTTGTGGTCTTCGGAAATGTCTTTTATAAGAAGTGTGAAAGTGTAAGTGTATGACGCGAATATGTGCCAGATCGCTCTGCATATAATTTGAATAATAGTGAGCGAGCAGAAACTTAGCGTCCGAGTCCGTGATGAAAAAAAGGACTTTATCGTGATGCGTAAACAACTCTAACGTTGGAGGAGCCCCATTAGCACTCGGATAAATTCTGCCAGCAGCGGTAATCGTAACCTTCTGTCCCTTTGTATTTTGAGTGATGCCGTTACTTCAACATCGTTGACAATATCGGTGAGGGTTGACAGGTCCGACGTTGAGGGTTTTCTGATTGAAATTTCGCACAGCCTCCAAAGATAAAAATAGCAAAGCAAGCCATAAAGAACGTGTAAAAAGTTTCATGTTTTTAATTATACCTGCGGTGTAAATAGCGTGCGTTAGAACTATCAGATGCGTTCTAATCCGCCTGCGCCGTTGTTGCAGGCTACCTTTGGTTTAAGGATCATTTTTTTATTATACCTGCGGTGAATAGCGTGCGTTAAAACTATCGATACGTTCCTTAATCCGCTGCGCACGTTGTTGCAGGCTACCCTTTGGTTTAAGGATCATTTTATATATACCTTGCGGAGAAATGCGTGCGTAGAACTATCGGATTGCGTGCCTTAAATCCGCCTGCGCCGTGTTGCAGGCTACCCGTTTGGTTTAAGGATCATTTTTTATTATACCTTGCGGTTAGATAGCGTAGCGTGTAGTAGTTAGAACTATCGGATGCGTGCCTAAATCCGCCTGCGCCGTTGTTGCAGGCTACCCTTTGGTTTAAGGATTATAACGACTTTATTTAACATGTCAAATATATGGGAAACCTATTAATATGCTCAAAAAACATCACTCTATAAACTGATCTTCATTCCGAATTCTGCTATAATAGCAATAAACCGAGCATGGAGCATCAACGAACAGTGACAGCCCCACTTCTCCACATGCAAGCAATTACCAAAGACTTCCCCCGGTGTGCGTGCCTTAGACGATGTCTCTTTCGAGGTACATCCGGGTGAAATCCACGCCCTATGTGGAGAAAACGGAGCCGGGCAAATCGACGTTGATTAAGATTCTGGCGGGCGTTTACCCGTCCGGAACCTACGAGGGGCACACTGCGCATCAATGGAAACGAGCAGCAGTTCCATACCGTGCGCGACGCAGAACACGCCGGGATCGCCGTTATTCATCAGGAACTGGCACTTATTCCAGAAATGACGGTCGCCGAGAATATCTATCTCGGCAAGGAACCGTGCCATTCGGGACTATTGACAGGCACCGTCTCTATCACGAAGCAGGTGAGATCCTTTCGCAGTTCGGATTGGCAATTCCACTACACAGACCTGTCCATGAACTCGGTATCGGACAACAACAACTCGTAGAAAATCGCGAAGGCCCAGGCGCAGCTTGCAAGCCGATATTACACAGTGGCGGAGCTTGCAAGCCAACATCGACCCGTCAAGCAACGCACTGTTGCTCGTGCTTGACGAACCGACAGCCGCCTTGACCGAAAGCGAAGTAGGACATTCTTCGGCAGATTCTGACCCAACTTCGAGAAATGGGTGTAGCCTGTATCTATATCACCCATAAACTCAAGGAGATTTTCAAATCGCCGACCCGCGTGACGGTGCTACGGGACGGTAAAGCAGTCGCAACGCAATCCATCAAATCATCTGAATGTACT